TTTATTTCACTTATGAGTATGGTCTCTAGTTGTGACCATTTAAATATAAAGGCCTCAAGTTTATCTTTCTTTATAGCTGAGTAATATTCCATTATATAAAAGTACCACAATTTTCTTATCCAATCCTCGGTGGATGGACATTTGGGTTGCTTCCACATTTTAGCAATTATAAATTGTGCTGCTATGAACACAGGTGCACATATATCACTGTGATATGATGTTTTTAGATCTTCTGGGAAAATAGGTTTATCCATTGTTATAGCATGTGTTAGAAATTCTTTTCTTTTTAAGGCTAATATTCCATTGTATTACTATAACACATTTTTGTTTATCCATTTCTGTCCATTGAATACATGGCTTGAGTCTACCTTTTGGCCATTGCAAAAAGTGCTGCTATGAACATAAATGCACAGATATCTAAGTTGTTGCTTTCACTTCTTTTGGGTATATTCTCAGAAGTGAATTGTGGATTATACAGTGATCCTATTTTTTAAGTTTTTGTGGTATTAGGGAATGAACCCAGGGCCTTGTACATGCTAGGCCATACCACCAGCCTTCATTCTGTTACATTTTTGGAGAAATCACCATACAGTATTTTCCACAGCAGTTGTACCATATTACATTTCCACCAGCAACATTCATTTGTTCTTTATTCAGGACATAAATCTTGATGTGCTGCCATGTCCTAGGAGTCAGACTAGGTACTAGAGGCATGGTGATGAAGTTGAAGGTAAGAGCTGTGCCTCATTCATTCGCTGTTAGACACAAACCATCTTAAGTTTGGATCAAATGCTGTTTAGTATAGTGAAAGCAAAGGCTCCTCTGCCTCAAGTATTTTTATAGCAAAGGTGGAGATAAAACACAAGCTCCTGTAAACACCTACCTGATGAGTAGCCCCTACTTGCCCTCAGCTCTGGAGGAAAAGTGTCCAAAGCATTCTCAATCTGTTATTTCTCCACATACTTCCTGAGCAAAGTGAAATCACCCATTGGTAATTTCATGTTTTGTATTTCTCTAGTAGTTCACAATACCTTAAAATTCCTAGAAGAGTATAATAAATTTATAATGATTTGTAATTTCTTTTTAATATTTGCTTTTCTCACCACACTCTGAGCTCCTAGAGGGTAGGGACAGAATTAGTTTTACACTGTATTCTTGGTGCCAGGCTCAATGCCTGGTACCATATAACAAAACAGAATGTAAATACTTACTGAATGTCTGCAGGCAAAATAAAAAATTACAACTTATTTAATATTTTATATGAGAAATACAGGAATATTTTTGTTTTCTAAGTGAAGGATGTATTATAGTACACAGCAGTATGCCTTTTAAACTTCTGTATTGGCTTGGGATTAGGTGTTTGTTCTTCTTTGTACTCCCTCTGTCTCTTAACCCTAAACTAACATTTGTCTTTCAATCTCTATCTCAGTTGCCCCATTATAATTAGAAGTAAAATATCTTCATGTCTCAGAAGAGTAATATTTGGGACAGGGGGAGTGGGTATGTAACCCAGGGCATCTCCAGCCCCTTTTTTAGTTTTAATTTAAGTCAGGGTCTTGCTAAGTTGCCCAGGTGGGACACAAACTTGTGATCCTCCTGCTTCAGCTTCACAAAATACTGGAATTAAAGATGTGTGACTGGCTGTATTATTTTAAGAAAAGATTATAATGGAAAAGCTACAAAATTGCTGCTTGTGAATAAAGGAGATATTTGATTGCTCTACACATTTCTTTCTCTTTGACTGTGGTTGTGATCCCCTTTCCAGTTTACTGGCGTTCTACTTTTTTCTCTTTTTTTAATTACAAGGTCTCTCTGTGTTGTCTAGACTGGTCTCTAACTCCTAGACTCAAGAGATCTTTCTACCTCAGCCTCCTCAGTAGCCAGGACTACTCGCATGAGTCACTGTGCTTGGCTTTAGTGTTGCATTTTGGACACTCCCTTACTGTCTCTCATTTCTACCCTTCTTTCTAATCCTATAGCACATATAACCTACCACACAGTTTGTAGTTGATGTTCTTCTTTATTAATGATGGTAAGAGTGTTACTCTTGCCTTCCTAACTTGGTTATGTCCTTCAGGACAGAGATCATACTTTATACGTCTATTATATGCCTCACAGTTCAGAGACAGGTATTCCATGTGTATTTTGTCTTCCTTAAATCCTCAGTACTAATAGATTGAATTTCAGAATTCTGATAGCAGCCAAAAACTAAGAATCATTTAGTTTGTATGAGCAGACATACTTTGATACTACTTTTTCTGTTTGTTCACTAAAGCTGGTTTTTAATAACTTCGACTAATTGTTACTGCTAATTGTTTTGCCTAAGATATTTTTAGTAGTCATTGATGATTATTTCTTCCAAAGTTTTAATCAAATACTATTTGTTGCAGTGAAAGTAAAGGCTCTTCTGCGTTACTCATTTTACCCAGTAGTTGACCAAAGTTTGAGACATTGTAGATTTTCTTGATTTGGGGTTTGTCTTTTTAGAACACAAAATTCTGTGGTTTTCAAATTAAAGGTGATGTTCTTAACTCCACAGTGGAGGATTAATAAAAAATCAAGTGGTTTTCTTTTTTCTAAGATTTTGTAATTCAGTAAGTTTCCTTTTGTGCTTGTCATAATTCACAGGTTGTTATTTAAATGAATTATTTGAGCTTTTTAGGCATTTATGAAGTATCTAAAATGTGAAACATGATATATATTTCTCTACTTAACTCCACTGTAAAGCAGCCAGAATAAAATGTAGATGTGAGCCTAAAGTTAAACCTATGATGAAATAATACAAAAAACTATCCTTAAAGGCTGTAGAAGCTATTCTTTCTAAAGCTGTGAGCTTTATATGATACATGAATTTTATGAAATACTAAATTCTTTTGTATCTTACAAAGAACAATTGAAATGAGTCAATAATAATTTGCAAAAAAATTGACTACAGTTGATAGAACCCTTAAAAGTAGAAAGTATGCTCAGAAAGTTTGCTCACTAATTTTAGGATTTATTTTCTTTAACCAAATAGTTAAAGTGAACCAGGAAATAACAGAAGTAAGCTTTTTTGATATATTAAATTTTGACTCCTCATTACTAGAAATAGAAAACTAAATTGGTATCTACCTTAGAAATTGTTGAAATGTCAGGTATAAAATAACAGAAAATATCATTTAAACATGTTTGAAATAAATTAATATAAATAGGAAAATTCTGATATAAAATGCCAAAGTTTGAAAAAATTATAAACTGTTCTGAACATCAGATTGAAGACCCTGTGATCTTTAGGATTAAATACCCTATGGCATTTAGTTTTCTTCTTCAAAGACTTTCATTAAAGGACACTATTAAGATAAACTGAGAACTAGTTTAATATATTTTGCATATATCTTCAAAAGTTATTAATCCAGGTGTGATGGTACCTGCCTGTAATCCCAGGATTTGAAAGGCTAAGGGGTTCTCTAGGTCAAGGCCAGCCTAGGCTACATACAGAGTTCCAGATTAGTCTGTACTACAGAGTGAGACCCTCTCTCTTTTAAAGAAAAAACAAAAAAACAAACCCAATAAAAGTTGTTAAATACTGTGCTATCTATAAATATGTTTAGACATTATTATTATTATTTTTTTTTTTTTTTTTTTTGCAGTACCAGGGATTGAACTCACGACCTTGTGCTTGTCAAGCAAGCGCTTATGCCACTGAGCTATATCCCCAGCCCTCAATATGTTTAGACTTTCAAAAGAGCAAAATTATAACAAGCCTGTAAACTATTTTGCTTATAGAATGTAGGATTATTTAGTGCACTATATACTAATACATTTAAATGATTTTTAGATCACAGGATTTAGCTAAGCAAATGAAGTACACTTCTGAATAGGACTAGTATTAACACTTCATTTACTGTAAACATTAAGTTCAACAATGTGCAATGCTTTGTGTATTTGTTTCCCTCACTCTGTTGTACATAGGACTCACCTGAGGAGCTTCTATAATTCCATTTCATTAAATCTGCATAGAGCCTGAGATTCTGCATATGTACATTCCTGGAGGGTGTGATGCTATTTGGGACACTTACAATGATGAGTTTATAAAGAACAGAAAATATTTTAAGAGCATCAGTCATGCATATGTTTCACTTTTTCATTGACTTCACTTCTTTATTATCTTTAATTTTTATTAGTATATGTTTGTGATACATATACTACATTCATTGTGAGGAACTGGCTCATATACATATCTCATCTTGATTGATTTCAGTTCTGTAATTTGATAGTTTATGTTTTACTATTTTATCAGTTTATTAACTTTATTTGAGCATCTATGAAAATTAATAGATTTGTTTTATTTCATAATAAGCCTTTTGATTCAATAATGTTAAACGTTATTTAATAACATTACTTTCCAAATTGGAGAAGTCAGTACAAAATTTTCTGCACTCTGGTCTTTATTCTAGTATGCTTTTAACAATATGACGTTAAGCAAGTTATTCAAATTCCTGAGTTACTTTATCTGAAAAACTGGAAGAACTGATTGAGATCAGAAGTTTTCAGTATTTACTTTTAAAAATCAGAGTTTATTTTTTACATAACCAGTAGTGAAATTTGGATAGGTGATCTGAAGCTATACTATTAGGAGCAAAAATTTTACAATATTTGGAGTAACATCAGAACTATGACAACAGTAGTGGACACAAACTTTTTTGGTTGATTTGCTTTGTCATGTTTTTAAAGTTTTAAGTGTTTAATTGGTCTGAAGGTGTTCTTTATAGCAGTCATTAGATTTTTTTTCCCTAATAGATATATAATGCATTTCTACACATAAATTTTGCACCTGTATTTACTAGCATATGCCGCTCACAATCTTTACAGTGAATGTATAGGGCTCTAATTTGTCGTGGATCGTAGTAGTATTTGGTGTTAATAGACCTAACACCAAATTTCCAGTGCTTCTTGAAGGAAAGTTTTTGTTGTTGTTTTAAACCATGTTCAAGCATTTGCTTTTGTATATTTGGTTTTAGAATCAAGTCATTTGGAACAGCAACTTGAAGAAGCTAGTTCTGTGAGACGAGAACTAGAGGACGCGTTTAGACAAATCAAGGCTTACGAAAAACAAATCAAAGCTTTACAACAAGAAAGGGAAGAACTAAATAAGGTAAAAACATATGAATTGATTATTAAAGTTTTTTTCCATGTTCATCTTGCCTAATTAGAATAACGAAAGCATTCATAACCAATGACAATAATATAGTATTTTTATTTTTTAAAAAGTTGACTTAAAAACTCAAGAATTATTTTGGTGTGTATAATTTGATTACTAGGTACTAATGAAGAAACTTTTGTATCCTTGAGGCTTTAAAATTCAAAATCTTTAGTTCATTTGGAAATTTAATCAGAGGTCTTAATTAAAGTGAATGTTACTGAAAGAGGTATTATGAAGAAATTGATAGAATTTTTAGTGACTACAGAAAAAAATAAAAAAACAGGCTGAATTTTCAGTATAATTTGCTGAAATGTACATTCTTAAAAGACTTTAAAGTCACTTCAGTGATTTAATTCTTTAAATATCAGTTTTCATTTCAAAGTACCATGGATAAGCAAACTGAAGTCATTTTTATAAGAACTTCACATAACACTTAAACAGTATTTTAAATAGTGCTAGAAACATCAACAAAATTTACTGATAGCTAAGACTCTGTAACACAGCCCAAAAGAGTAAATAATGTTAAAGCAATAAAAATACTTAAACCACCTATTTATATACTATGGCTTTCACTAATTCTAGCCATATAAATAAGGGATTAGTAGTTTATGGCATAGTATGAATTGCATTTAGTGATGTAAGATAAAATACCATGATTAGTAGAGAAAGAAGTCCTTCTGGGAAAAATTTGTAAGTCTTAGTACCAGTAAAGAAATAGAGGGATTTAAAAATAAACAACTGACTAGATATGGTGGTCAGCAAACACCTATAATTCCAGCACTCTGTGAGGCTGAGACATGATTGCAAGTTCAAGTCCACCTGAGCGGTTAAGTGACTTAGCAAGACCTTATCTCAAAATTGAAAATTAAGAAGGACTGAGGATGCGATTCAGAGTGCAGGGCCTAAGTTCAATCCCTAGTACTGCATGCAAGCAAATAGATAAAATTATTAGTTAAAAGGACTAGTAGAGAAAGCTATTAAAAATTAGATTGAGGGGCTGGGGATTTAGCTCAGCGGCAAAGTGCCTGCCTGGCAAGTGCAAGGTCGTGAGTTCGATTCCTGGTACCGGAAGAAAAATGAAAAAACAAACAAACAAAAAAATTAGATTGAATCAGATAAATACATTTTAACTTTCTTCTCATTGCTTTTTAAAGCAATGATTTGTATAAATCTTTCTAAACTCATGACCAGTTTAATAATATTTGGTATATATAACAAGTGTTCTATTTGCTTTAATGATAATTTAATAATAGTAGTGGTTTACTAGTTTGTATCTATTTGTAGGCTATACTCAGTCAAATTTGATTAATGTAGTAAGGATAAAAATTTGATTTTAGATTTATGCTAGGATGTATTTTGCCAATTCTTAATAAATTTCAATGCTAAAAATCCTTTTAGTATAATTTGAGAAGAGAGTGGTACTGAAAAGAAACATTACACCGATAAAGAATTTTAAGTAGTGAAAAGTAATATCATTTTCTCCATATCTTTGACAATATTTTTTTATCTTTTGTTTGATAATAGCTATTCTAACAGTTGTGCAATGGTATTTTATTGTGATTTGGATTTTCATTTCTGGTTAGTGATATTGAACATCTTTCCGTATATACCCATCAACCAGTTAGTTTTATGTCTTCCTAGGAACAGTGTTCATGCTGTATTCCACAGTTTCTCATAGTACCATACTTGCCTGTTACTGTTACCGGAGTTTTAGGGTGAAACTCTGTGTCTGGGGCTCCACAAACCAGGCCTGGTCGGTCACCCATCCCAGTTTGCCAGTCAAAACAAGCAGTGGTGAAGTGACAAGAAAAGAGTTTTAATCAGCACAGACACACCAAGAATAACAGATAAAGAGGTTCAAGATCTGTTCTCAGGGGGCCAATAGGAGCTTGAAAGTTTTATAGAGAAGGGAAACAAAGGCAGAGGTTGAGGGTTTGCATATCTGGCCATGTAGGCACTCTGGTCTGTGGGCAGGCTGATCATTATTTCTGGATTGGCTGTGTGACACACAGAGATAGCCATCTTCACTTGAGGAGCCAAAAGGACTAGCTAGGCCAGTGCCTGTGCCTTCCTTCATTATTTTTGCAATTTTTTTTTTTTTTTCTTTTTTGGTACTAGGAATCAAACTCAGGACCTTGCACTTGCCAGGCAGGCGCTGTGCCACTGAGTTATATCCCAAGCCCTTCCTTCGTTATTTTTGGCCAGTATAGTCTAAAGTGAGATTTTTTAGATTTAAAATGATGTTTTATGGTGGCCTAAATTTTCATTTCTCTAATTGTTACTGTGGTCAGGTATCTTTATAAATGTCTACCCATCATTTTTTTACATTTCATCTTTTTCAAAAATACCTTTCAATATCCTTTGTAAATTTTTCCCTCTAGTTCTTTTTTTTACAGCTATATGAGTTCTTGACAATTTCTGGTCATATTAATCTTTTTTCACTTATATAAAGATCATTGTCTGTGGTTTGTCATTCTGCTTTTTCTTTTGATTAACAAAAGCTTTTGGATTAATGTAATCAAATCTGTCAGTATTTTTATAATGACTACATTTTTTCCCTGTATTTTTCTGTTTAATTTAATTTCCCTGTTTAATTTTTTTGTTTGGTTTTTCATATTTGTTTGTTCAGTGGGGTAGTATTAGGGATTAAACCTGAGGAGTGCTGAGCTATATCCCCATCCTTTTTTTATTTTGAAGTAGGTTCTCCCTAAGTTGCCTAGGCCTCCCAGAGTGTTGGTGTTACAGCCCTGTACATGGCCAGAGAAGTTTCTATTGCGTAAGGGGCAATTTGTTCTTTTGAGATGACTGATCCTACTTAGAGGGGGCAGTTTCAGTTCCAGTTGTTCCCCCTTGGCAGGTTGATCTGTCTGCAGAGGTGATCTCGGTGTTCTCTTTGCACAGATGCTTCTGGAATCAAGGTGACTGCAGGCTTAGAATAATGACTGGAGACTTCTAGTTTCCACTCTAAAAGGCCTGGAAAAGAACACTGTAAAAGTTGACAGTTATGGATCTTGAATGGACCTTAGGTACTCTGCTTTGGTGTCCTCAGTGTTGAAGGGAGATGAGATAGAGTTAAGTGTCTTAGTTATTTCTCACTGCTTAGACAAAATGCCCAATACTCTCAAGATAAAAGAGAGAGAGGTTTATTTTGATTGGCAGTTTGTAGAGGTTTCAATCCATAGTTGAGTGGCTCTAAGGCAGGGTAGCATGGCAGGCAGAAAGCAGAGTAGCATCAAGGGACTAGGAAGGATATACAGGGTCACACCCACAGTAACCCACCACTTCCCATCAGCCGTCACCTCCCAGCATCACTCCCGGCTAGAAACAGTGGACCAATCCAGTGTCATACCCATAATCCAGTCACCTCTCCCAAACTCTTGCCTATGAGAACGTGAGTCTTAGGGGCAAAATTTAGATATGTTGTAATAGTAGGTAAATGTAGAGCTAATAAACCAGTTTTTAGATAGATATTTCTTTAATGATTAAGATGCTTCTATGCAGAGCTGAGCAGAAGTCACACACAGAGTTTTAGGTCACAAAGGAGATAAATACAGAGTTAAGGCAGAGATAGCAAGCTTTGTCCACTTTTAGTTACTCATGTTGCATCTGTAGATCCAAGTGAAGAGTCAGTGCCTTTTTAGTAAAATCTATTTAAGACCTCAACTATCTCAATGTGGGATAAGGATTCAGTTTTACTTTTTTCCATGTGGCTTACCAGTTGTTCGTTTACTCTAGACAGGCTCTCCTTTCCTCAGTGCAGTGTCACTTCTGTCATACATCAAATTCCACATTTGCAGAGGTCTGTATCTCAGTTCCTTGTAAACTATGAGAATTTTTATCAAAATTACATTGAATCTAAAGGTCAATTTTAGAAGAATTGACATCATTACAATATTGACTCAAGTTCTTTCTAGTATATATTAATGTTCTGAAGGCACACACATGTCCAGAGCAGAGCAGATTTTTATTATTTACACACAGCAGATAATAACTGTCAGGGCCTGAGGAAGTCCACAGAGAAGAGACGAGGAACCTAAACCCACCTTACTCATAGAGTAAGTTGTGAATTTGCTGACTTCCAATGCAGAAAGAAATTTTCAGGATGAGTCTGTAAGAGATATAAAGGGATATATTAAGCAGAATTTTACAAATACACACTCAAATAATGTGGGCCCTCAAGAAAGCTGTGCACTATCTTTTAGAACTGGAAACATTTATGTTTCTCTTGAGGGAGTGGAAACCTTGGAAAAGATGGCCCATCCTCCAGAAGGATAATGGCCCATTTCATAGGTAAAAAGTAGGAACCCATTTTTTTTTAAAGACAGATAATTTAAGCATTCTTTGAAGTCTCTCAACCTGTTCCTTTATCTTAAGACCAGGTTCCCACTCTTTACTTTCTCAGCTAAACTAATTTATGAACTTACAGAGTATCTTTAAGGAATCTTGAGAGTAATGGGTCTGGAAGGAAAGAGCCGTAAATTAACCTAGGGAATGTATATGTTGATAGCCTTGGGTAACTTTGCGTCCCGTCTTCTTAAAAGTATCATTTTAAAAATTATTATTTTCCTTGTCTCCTTTCTACCTATCTTTATTTCCTCCTACCTCAATAATCTCATGGCTCCCTGTGTGCCAGTTTTGATCTCTGAGGTAATGCCCTGAGACGTGGCGGGATAAAACTCTGCACGTGAGGAAGGAGTCTATACTGTAAGGAGGAACCCCCAAAACATTTATCTAGGAGTTAGTATTGAGGAAAAAGACATATGTTTCCCAGCCTCTGAAACTCTTCCTTGGAAGTCCGAAGAGATAGATCTTGGGTTCTTACTCTAAACCTTTGGGTTGTTAATTAATCATTCCAGAGAACAGATAAACCTGATGTATCCAGCTTCAGAAAGAGAAAGTCTCCTTGGTCGAGGTTACCTTGTGCATCACCTTGAAATTATTACCTGCAGAACATACATCTCTCGAGTTTTCTTGCTATTGAAATTAGTCAATAACTAATGACTTGCATTTACTCCAGGTCTCAAGTGTCAGTAAAATGTGTTGGAAAGGGCTAATTGTGTGAAAACATAAAAATAGTTTCTCTGTAGCTGCATAGCCTTTTAATTCATAAACATGGTATCTATCCATATATTTAAATGCATTTCAGATGTTCTTCTGTAAAATTTCATATGTCTTGTCTTTCCTTAAATTTCTCATTCTATTTTTTCACATTTTAACTTTAAAATTTGTTTTCCTTCTGATTTTTCTGCATTGATTTTGTTCTAACAACATTGCTAAATTCTTAATGAAATATATTTTAGGGGCTGGGTACGTAGCTCAGGGGCATAAGCACCTGCCTGGCAAGTGCAAGGTCTTGAGTTAGATTTCCGGTGCCAAAAAAAAAAAAAAAAAAAAAAGTGAAATGTATTTTAGATTCTTTGAAATTTTCTGTAAATAATGAGAAATGTGTTTCTTCCTTTTGGATTTTTGTGACTTAGTCTTTACTAGAGTTGTTACATCAGCTAAGACCTCAGTACAGTATTGAAAAGAAGTAGCAATAGCCAGCATCCTTGTCTCTGATTTTTTAAGAAATGCCTCTGATACGTCTTTTATTGCTGCTTTTTAGTAAATAATTTTAGCAGAGTAAGGAATTAGTTTCCGTTTGTATTTGAGTACTTTTTTCATTAAGAATAAGTAACTAAGTTGCATTTCTGTACTTTATTGAAAGGATTATGATTCTACTATAATAAATTGGTGTGTTGAACTACATTTATAGAGTTTTTCTAATATTAAATTATTGTTACATTTCTTTGTCTAAATTGCAGTGTATTATTTTCTAAATAATAATATGGTAGTATAGATAATATTTATGTAGCCAATTATCCATTCTAATAGCACTTTCCTACTGTAACGTAAAGTGCTTAATATATATTAGATGATTTAATCATTATCACAGCCCATGAGTTAGGTATTATTTTTACTCCAAATTGGGTCCTTTTTTCCTCTGGAAATTATGGAATGAATAACAATACTGAACACCTATTGAGCAGCAAAGGAAGCTTTCATTCTTGGCTAAGAACAGGAGAATAAATGTCTCAGCCTCTTGAGAAAGATGAAAGAAATGAAGGGCAGGGATAGGTTAATAAAGAAGGCAGCTTGTCTTTTGTGAGGATGTAGGTGCCACCTCTTTCTACTCCTTTTTTTGGTTCTTGGTGATCATTGTCATGACAGTTGCCACTGTCATGGTGATGGGGAGTGCGTTATTTACCATGCAGGTAGATTATAGTGAATTAGAGGTTGACTGTCCTTCACTTTCTGAGGCATCTTAGGTGCAGCCAGTTTCAGATAACACCCCTGAGGAGGAACTTCCAGCTAGTAGGCATCCTGTCCCAAAGATAAGTAAGATTAGAGTAGAGTAGAAATTGAGCTAGGTCAAACAGGTAGTACAAGATTTAGATGCAATAATATTATTTTATTTCTAGTAATATCATTTACTAATGGTGAGACTGATGATTTATAATTTAATTGCAATATTATTAAAGAATTTAATTTATATATCTGTTCTTTGAAAGCTACTGAGACTCGCTTCATGTTCTAGATTTTTCTGTTCTTAAAATATTCAGTGTGTGTTCTTGAAGAGTGTATATTTCAATACAGGGCATCAGCTTCTACACATGTGTTGATAGAAGTTTTCAAATCTTTGCACCGTTTACTCAGTTTATATGTTAATGATTAAGAAATTGAACCTTCTCATCACTGTGATATATTTACCATTTTTCTCTGAAGTTCTATTGATTTCTTTTTAGTTCATTTTGAGACTCTTACAGAATGCATTAAAATTAAAAATGGTGTTTCTTCCTAGTATATTGAATTTTGTGATTATATGGTAATATTCCCTATCCTTAATAATGCTTTTTCTACTAAAGTCTAGATTTTGTATCTTAATCTGGTATAACAAACTGCCTTTATCTGGTGAGTTTAGCCCTTTTATATTTCTTTTGATCACTAATGTATCTAGATGTGTTTCTGCCTCTTCTTGCTTTCAGTTTTTGATGTCTTTTTGCTTTCAGTTTTTTTCATTTAATGTATCATTTTTCTTCTTCCCTTTTGAAAGTTTCAGTTGTAGTAGATTCATAGAATATTTGCTGTCTTAGCCATTTTAAAATGCACAATATAGTATGTTAAGTATGTGCATATTGATGTACAGCGGGTCTACACAGTTCTTTTTATTTTACAAAATCACTTAAATTTTTGTTTCCTTGTTCAGATTTTTCTTTCTAGCTTTTTGTTAGCTATTAGCTATTTGTTAGTTAGTTATTTATTAAATTTTACCCTGTATGTTAACAGGATCTAAATTTAATATCCTAAACTATTTTCTCCCAAAACTTCAAGGACTTTTAATTCTGTTACCTCTTCCCGATTTACCTGCTGTTTTTGACAAATATTTTAATAGTTACATGCTTTTATTCTACAAATTTATTTTTCTAACAGTCATATACAGACATTTCTTCATGTTCACATTCTGTTTTACCAGCTTCTCACCCTTTTATTTGTCTTGCATTAGACCTTTCTTTTAAAAATGTTGTTCTTTTTCCTGATATAAAGCCTGTAGAAGTCTCTTTAGTACAGATGAGATTGTGGTAAGCTCTGTCAGTTTTGTTTGTGTGAAACCTAGTAATTGAGAAGTAATTTTTCTTCATGTTCAAATTTTTTAATCTCTTAAAAAGTATTTTGTACTGTTTCTATTTCTAATATTTATGCTTTTTCTGGGTTGAATCTTTTTTTTAAAAAAAAATAGAAGAGTTGTCCTTTTTTTCTTCTGATTTCTTTAAGTTATTTTATTTCTCTGGCATTATGTAGTTTCGTTTTTTGAACAATTTCTGGCTTTGAGTTTCTTTCTCTTTGTAAATAAAGAGCTTTCTATATTGGTAGATTTATGTTTTTAATTTTAACACCTTTTCATTTCTAAATGTTCTGTAGAGTTCATTTTTAAATCTGCTTGATCATTTTAATAATCTTTTGTCTTTTCCCATTTTTATAGTTTCCCATTTTATTACTTCAAACATTTCATATATAGCAGTCTTAAGTTGATATATGATCATTCTGACGCCCAAATACTTGTGGTGATCGTTTTGTTCATTGTTTCCACTGTTTCATTATGGTGGTTCGTTCTCTAGGCATTTGGGGATCCGTTTCTGTGAGCTCATATTTCTTTGCTCTTAATGTGTGAAAAACCCAAATTTCCTTGAAGTTCTTTCCCCGCAAAAGATCTGTCTTTTCTTTTGCCGGGAAGCAGGCGGCTTCACTGATCCTGCTGTGCGGTAGCCCCTCTGAACCAAGGAGTCTCAGGCTTCCTTTTTACCTCCTTGCTACTTAGTTTCCACATTAAGAGCAACCCTTGTGGATTTTTTATTATTTGTAATTATTCAATATATTTTTTAAGTCTCAGAAATATTTATTAAATGTCACAAAATCTTTATTTTGACCATCATATCTTATGTTCTTATACACTCTAGCCAGTTGTGGAAACCTAGTTAAGTCAGCAGCTCTCTTGAATTTATCATGTGAGAGCATAGAAATAGAGAATATAGCAGGACATGATGTCCTTATTATCTATTCACAAGTAGTTCATTTCCTTTAATTTTGTCCTGAGGTGAATAATTTTGGCTCTTCTTGAGTTAAAAATAGCCACTTTGATGGCCAAATTTGGTCTCTAGGTTGCAGAATTGGTAACTTATATTCTTTTTACAAAACTGTAGGAACTAGTCCAGGCTAGTGAGCGATTAAAAAACCAATCCAAAGAGCTGAAAGACGCACACTGTCAGAGGAAACTGGCCATGCAGGAATTCATGGAGATCAATGAGCGACTAACAGAATTGCACACCCAAAAACAGAAACTTGCTCGCCACGTCCGAGATAAGGAAGAAGAGGTGGACCTGGTGATGCAAAAAGTTGAAAGCTTAAGGCAAGAACTGCGCAGAACAGAAAGAGCCAAAAAAGAGGTTAGTAGTCAGGCAAATTGGGTAGTGCCCATTGGGTAGTTATTAAAGTTGCTTTCTGAGACTAGTGAAATAATATATATTTCATTCTTTAATTTTTGAAAATTATTGTACAGTTTGTTAATATTAATATGAATTTCAACATTGGAACTGTCTTCCTATTAAAATGTAAATTACCATGGGGGAAAATAGTTTGTTTGAAAAATTATAACTGTGAAATTTTTGTTTTTTCATTTTATTTTAAAGCTGGAAGTTCATACTGAAGCTCTAGTTGCTGAATCATCTAAAGACAAGAAACTACGCGAGCAGAGCGAGTATTATTCTAAGCAACTGGAAAATGAATTGGAAGGACTAAAGGTATGTTTTCATTTCACTTTTTTTTTTTTTTTTTTTTTTGAGACAGAGTCTCACTAAGTAATGCAGGCTGGCCTTGAACTCCCTTATGTAGCCCAGGCTGTCCTCAAACTCACATTGATCCTCCTATGTGCTGGTTCTACAAGCATGTACCACCACATCTGGCTACATTTGATTCATAATTTTCTTCTTTTTAGGTTTGATAGTAGTGTTATCTTATGTACTCTTTGGTGTAGAGTGAAAATAACCTGTCCTTTAAAGCTCATATGCTTCTGATTCCTACCAATAGGAAGCTGCTAGAGATTTTCTTAGTCATGCTGAGAAAAGGGAATACTGGTTTAGTAAGGAGTAGGAATCTACTACCTGAATAACAGGTACTGGTAATCTCTACATGAGTTGTGAGAAGATATATTAACCCCCCAATCTGTCTTGTAAATGACTCAGGAGAGGCTCAGACAGCTTTGCAGATCCTGTTAGTTGGGATAAAATGATAGTAGGCATAGGCTAACACATTTCAGCAGAAGTTGCTTTGCAAGGAAAATTCTTGGGCCATTTCTCAAGTCAGACTGCTTAGTTTTAACTTCTAATTTCACCAATTACTAGCTGTGTATAACACTGAAGCAAACACTTACTCTCTTTATCCTCTAATTTTCTCATCCATAAAGTCCTACTTCATGTTAGGAGTCCACACACACACTTAAAGCTAATACCTCACAAGCACACAGTAAGTGTTACTGTAGTGATAGTATGACATATATCAATGAAAATATCATAATCAACTTGAATATTACCTCAGGAAGTCCAGATGCTCCTGTTGCTACTTTAGAATTCTGTTAATAGCTGTAGCATAATTCTTATTAATGACTTAATCAGGTTATCTTCCCCGCTAAACTTTGACATTGCTTATTGGAAATACAGATGATAGGTATATTATTACCTGTTCTTGGTGCTGGCCCAGATATTTAATACTTATTTAATGTTTGTTAAATCAGTGACTGAATCATGTAGGAAGAATTAGATCCAACCTCCTGTACCTCTGACAATTGAATATCAGTGTCTGTAAGTAATGTTTCTCCTCTGCTACAAATAGAAATATAAATTCTAGATTTGATTTCTTTGTTTTGGAGATTTATTAGTTTTGGTTCATAAACTCAACCTTCGTTAGCTTTATAAATTAAAGATATATCATCTGTATATAAGGTATGATTTATGTGTTTGAATGTTTAAAATTTATTACATTAAGGTGCACAATGCCATTAATCTCCATCAAAATACTCCCTCCAGCTTTGAGCACACTTATCCCATCGTTCTTGCTACTTTCTGAAGTACTTCTTGAAATCTTCTTTTGTGAGTGTCTTTAGTTGCATTGTTGTGGCTAAATCAATTTAAAATGTTTATCTCGAAAAAGCATGGTTATTTTGACTTTTAGAATGAGCCAGAAGTTGCACAGTGCCAGATCTGGTGTATAAGGTTTGATGAAGATGTACTGTTTTTATGTTTTTATGTTTTCATGTTTAGTGTTTTTATGAGCCTGCCTGTTCATTGGATGGCACTTGGCAACAGCATTCACCAAAATTTTTTTATCACACCTCACTAAGACAGTCACAAAAGAGGACTTCAGAATTTCTCCACAAAGTAGCAAGAATGATTGGTTGAGCTAGGTGTGATGGTGCATACCTCTAATCCCAGCACTTGGGAACCAAGACAAGAGTACAGTCAGGAGTTTGAGGCCAGCCTGGTCTATTTAGTGAGTTCAAGACAAGCTTGAACTACTTAGCAAGACCCTGTCTCAAAACAAACAAACAAAAAAAAAAAAACCAAAACAACAACAACAAAAACACTACCAGAATGATTGGTAAGTATTTTCCACGAGGGGAAGTATTTTGAGGCAAGTTATTGACGATGTAATAAATTTTAAAAATTTAAACATTCATCCCCTTTTGTATCAGTATTTTTGTGATACATTTTTCAGTCATTTCATATACACCTATCTATGTGGAGCAGATTTAGAGTAGAGAGGTATTTATTGTCAGAGGTGCTTTTCATTCAGGGTCTGCTTTGTTCCAGCACTGTTGTAGGCACTTTGAATAATAAAAAAACAACCATTAAGAAAAAAAAATAAAATAAAATACACATGGGAAAAAATCTTAGGCATTGTTTGTATTTGAAAAATTGAGACCCAGAAGAATAAAGGATTTTAAGTGATAGACTATGATCTAAACCTAGGTTTTCTAACTTTGAGTGCCATGTTCTATCTAGTAGTTTGCTTTATTTTTTTCTCTGTAATAAACACTATTGTACCATAAACTTTGAATCACATATTTTTACCCAGTTGTCCAAACACTCATAAATTTGAGGTAGTAATAGAGTTACCAAGTAAATAATGCATTTAAAGAGTTTAGAACAGGTCCTGATGCACATTAAAGCTCAGTAAGTGTTTGCTATGATTATGACCGTACTATAATTTCCTTAGGATATTTCTTAAAGTGGGGTTTCTTGGTCAAGAACTAGCACACATATATTTTTAAAAGATATTGTGGCCTTTTAAAAATGAAGAAATATTTTACTCCACTAAGAGTGTTTTCCAGCAGACTCAAAGGGAGAAGTAAGTAATTCTACAGTGAGAATTAGATGTCAATATCCCAATTCTAGTAATGGAGAGAACATACAGACAAAAGATCAATAGGATATTCAGGTCTTGAACCACACTATAATCAACTAGACTTGACAGATGTAGCAGCCTCCACCCAAAAACAGCAGAATACACTTTTCAAGTGCATATACCAAATTCTCCAGGATTGACCACATATTAGGTCACAAACTAAGTCTCAGTATATGCAAAAAGATTGAAATCATACAAAGTATCTTCTCCAACTACGATGGAATGGAGCGGGAAATCAGTAGCAAAAGAAAAATTAGACAATACTTAGGGAAGAATGAAAATGAAAACACAATATACCAGTACTTACAGGGTACAGAAAAGCCTGTACTATATGGAACATTTATAGCTGTAAATGCCTATATTAAAAAGGAAAGAAATCAATAACCCACTTTTACACCTTAAGGAACTAGAAAGAGAAAAACAAACTAAACCCAAAGATAGCAGAAGAAAATAAATAGTAAAAATTACACCAAACATAAATAAAATGGAGAGTAGAAATAGAACCAGCCAAACCAAAAAAAAAAAAAAAGTTCTTTGAGAACATTAACAGAGTTTACAGACCTTTAGTTAGAAGAGGGAAAAAGAGAATACAAATAACTAAAGTTGGAAACAAAAGTGGGTATTTTATTACCTACCAAGTAGAAGAATTACGATGTTACTATGAACAACTGTGTCCCCACAAAGTTGGTAACTTAGATAAAAGGGACAAACACCCAGGACACGAATAACCTAAAGAGAGTAAAGATGAAATAGAAAACCTTGGCAGACCTGTAAAGAAATAGAATTGGTAATCAAAACCCTTTCAACAAGGAAGGGTCCAGAATCAGACTGCTTCTATGGTCAGTTGAACCAAACATTCAAAGAGGAGTTAATGCCAGTCCTTCTCAAAATACTTCCAAATTCACAAGAGGTGTAAACATTTCCTAACTGATGCTGTGAGGCCAACATCATCCTAAATACCAAAGCCAGATAGAAACATCACAAGAACAGAAATTTATGCCAACATTCCGTAGGAATATTGATGCACAAATTCTTAACAAAATACTAACATATTGAATTCAAAAGCATATTTCAAGGCTTGTATACCATAATTAAATAGGGTGTGGCCCAAAAATGCAAAGGTGACTAACATAAGAAAACCAATCGATCGAGTGTCACATTAATAGGACCAAAAGAAAAAAAATCACATGATTGTCTTTATTGGTGCATGAAAGTAATTTCACAAAAGACTCAAAATTCTTTTATGATAAACATTCTCAGAAAACTAGAGATAAAGGAGGACATATTTAATATGGCAAAAGACATATGTTATAAACTCACTGGTAACATTATACTGTGGGGAGAGACTGAAGCCTTCCCCATAATTAGGCTGGAATGCCCCATTTTCACTATTGCTTGGTTTTGGTATTTACTGCAGATTCTAGTTGAAACAGTTATACAAGAAAAAGAAATAAAAGGCATCCAAATTGAAAAGGAAGAATTTAAATTATCTCTCATCAAAGATAACGTAGTCTTTTGTTTAGAAAATCCCAAAGACTAAACAAGACAGTTATTAGGGTTTATAAATAAGCAGTTCCCAAAGTTGCAAAGTATAAGATCAATAACAAAAATCAGTTGTTTCTGCAAGCCAGCAGTGAACAATCTGCAAAGGAAATTAAGAAAGCAGTTTGATTTACAGTAGCATATAAAAGAATATATCTCAAAATGAATTCAGCCACGGAAATTAAAAACTTGTACACTGAAAATCACAATACATTGCAGAAAGAAATTAAAGAAGACCTAAATAAATAGAAAGACATCCCATGTTGATACTGTTATTTATCAGGTAATATATTAATACTCAGATTATATAAAGAACTTCTCGACAAAAAGATGAACTGTCCAATCAAAAATGGCCAAAGGACTTGAATAGACATTTCCAAAGGAACTATTCAGATAGCCAGTCAATATGTGAAAAATTCTTAGCATCATTAGTTACTAGGGAAATGTAAATTGAAAGCAAAATAAGATACTACTTTTTACCTTCTAGAATGGCTAAATTAGAAGAAAAGGAAGAACAGAAAGAAGAAAGAAAAAATTGTTGGCAAGGATATAGGAGAATTTGAACCCTTGTACGTAGCTTATGGAAATATAAAATTATATAGCCTCTTTTGAAAACAATTTGTTGGTTCTTCAAAAAGGCAAATACAAGCTACCATATGACACAGTAGTTCCGCTTCTAAGTGTATACTGAAAATATTTGAAAAAAAATGCTCTAAAATACACTTTACACCAGTGTTCACTGCAGTGTTATTATTACAGTAGCAAATGGTAGAAGCAACCCAAGTGTCTTAAGAACAGT